GACGGAGCACAGCATCAGACCTATCTCGTCAGCTCTCTTCAGCTACCGGTACAACAGTTTCAAGGCAGACCGTGTACAGACGCTTAGGGCACATTGGTTTATATGCTCGTAGGCCTGTCAGATATGTTCCTCTTACCGCAACTCACTGTCGCCTGCGATTAACCTGGAGTAGAGAGCATGCATTGTGGACACCGCAACAGTGGTCTTGTGGGATGTTTTCCGACGAGTCCAGGTTTAGTTTGCAGTCAGATTCTCGCCGGACTTTTTCATATGGAGAGTGCCAGGTACCCGTTACCACCAAGAGAACACCATTAAACGACACCGTTACGGTGGTGCAGAATGGCTCGTTTGGGGAGGAATTATTCTTGGTTCCAGAACTGACCTGCATGTTCAGAGTGTAACGATGACAGGCCACATCTATCGGGATTTCATTCTGGAACAACATGTACGTTTTTTTCGGGGCGCCATGGGTGCTGAATTTCTGTTTATGGATGACAACGCCCGTCCTCAACGTGCAAACATTGTAGACGAATGCCTTCAATCGGAGGATATCACCCGTATGGATTGGCCAGCATACCCACCGGACTTGAATCCAATAGAGGATGTGTGGGATATGCTTGGCCGACGAATTGCAGCCCGTCAACCCCCTCCCACCTGTCTACCGGAACTTCGGAGGGCATTGCTTGATGAGTGGTGTAATATTCCCCAAGATCAGATTGATAATTTGATACTCAGCATGCGTAGGCGTTGTAAGGCCTGTATTGCATCGTCCGGGAGACATACTCCGTATTAACCATCATACTAACCATGTTATACTGTTTTTTGTAAATAGGTTCTTTTTTGAAATTTGCTCCAGGGAGTAAAAATCGCAATTTTTATTAATTATGTCAAACATATAGCATCTTTTTTGCTCTTTACCTTTTGTTTAATAAATAGACTTTACAAATAAGTCAAATTTGTTTTGCTTCTATCTCTTTCTTTGCCTGAACTTCCTTATCCTAAATTTATGGACATGAGTGTACTAAATAAGTAATGGTAGGTGGTGAGTGGAGGCTAGACATGACGGGCATCAAAGGCCGGGGAAATGTTTGTATACTTGTCACGTGATTCCGACTTGGCGCCGACTAGTCGTGAATCGACCCCATAGTGCAATCTTGTCACTGTTGCTAATTGGCATATGGTAAAAAATTCCCGGTTTTTCGGAAAATATATTCGGATATAGCATTCGACCAAAAAAATCCCCACATCTCTATTTTTTTTTAAAAAAGTTGTCACAACTAGTCGGATACCTTAAGTTAATGTTTCAGAGATGATATATTTTTGAAAAATGCATTTCGCATGATTGAAATAATATTATTTTCAAGATAACATTCTTTGTGCATACTTAAAATAAAAAAAAGTATAAATAACTTTCAAAAAAATGTCATCGCATTCCCTTATCATATTTTCCATGTTCGTTTCAGATAAAGCAAAAACACAACCACACGAAGCTTCATTATATTCAGTTAACTAAGATTGATGAAATATATGCATGTAAAAAGGAAAAAAATCGTTAAAAAATTGATAAACAAAAAAAGAAAAAAAATTACATTTTAAGTTAATAATTAATGCATAGATTTTTTTCGTCATCAGAACATACCTTGATGTTAAATTAATTAGAGCTGAAACAAAAACTGAAAAAGCATATAAATGAACAATATTTTTGTTATTTAATGTCACTTGAATTAGAATAGACATGTAAATTTTTTTTTCTGAATTTCCTTTTGAGAAAAACTATTTAAATGCTATTTTTTGTCAAAAAATTAGGAAAGAATGACATATTTTCAAAACACTTTCCTTTTATGAAAAATTTTTCTACAATAATAATATTTTGCCTATATATAGCTAGGAATCTCTTATATACTGGGGTTGTACTAAAATTTTGAAAAACTCGTTATTTCATATTAGTTGCAATCAATTGAAATAATAATGCTTTTTTAAAAATCCTTTTATAAGCTTCACTTGTATGTAACGGAATTTTGAACTCCATTTTTACCCACTTCAAAAGGTCAGATTAGTTCAAAATTTTGCTCACTTATCCAGAATCGATGACAATACAATAATTTAATAATTTTGTTCCATTGACCTGATTAGAATCATCAGGATTAACGATTTTCCATTTTCAGATCCTACTGGCGACTAATTTCAAATCCCATTTCCAGATTCGAAAACTAAAAGATTTTGTTACAACTTAGTTCAATTAACTGTAAAAGAGTGATTTTTGTTTTTTTTTAACCGCAAATGTTTTGTTAAAATTTCTTTATTGTGATATAATAAAATATGATTAAATCCACTTCTAAAATATATATTTCAAAAAATTTTGTTCAACCCCGGTATAGAAGTCCTAGCTATAAATGGGCAAAGCATTATTATTATAGAAACATTTTTCATATTTCATGTTCTGGAAATATGTCATTCTTTCTTCCTTTTTTACAAAAGATTGCGCTTTAATAATTTTTTTTGTTATAATATTCTTAAAACAATTTTATACTTAAATCTAATTCAACTGACACTAAATACCAAAAAAAAAAATGTATATATCTTTTTTACGCTTTTTCAAAATCACGGTTTTGAACGTAGTCAATCACCTTAAGCGTACGCTTTACTAAAAAAGATAGTCTTTACTGCAAACTGAAAGTTTTCAAGTTTCAGGTACATATATATGATTGAATATAGAAAATGAAAAATAGAATAATTAAATTTTCATTTTTTTCGGTCGATGATCTTTAGAGACATGGCAATTTTGAGGTTTTTTTAAAGTGTAAGTGTAATTTTGTTGTCATCTTTATGTAATATACAAAATCTCCCTTCTTATTTCTGAAAGTAACTTTAATCTATTCTAATTTAATTGTCTTTCGAATTGTCACTAACTTCCGGTTTTGCACAAAAGACTACCAGCCATTTTCTTACACAATTGAAGCATTATTCTAAAAGGAAAGTATAAAATTCTCCCTTTTTGAAATATGCCGCGTTATTAAATATATTACTCTTCTGTGTACAATACTATTCTTAAAATACTTTCATGAGCACTCATATAAATATTTTCTTGGACAGGTTTTCATGGTCATTTGGTCTGAAAATGTAGAATAAAAGAATGATAAAGATAAAAATGTTCATACTTTATAAAACCACACCTAACTATTTTTCTCCATAACCCATAAAATATATAAGAGGAGTTTTATGCGAAAGCACCTTTTTATTCAAATAGTTCTGTTTACTTTAGAATGATAAAAACATTTCTTTTCAGTGGTAAATTTCCGGACTCTCAAGTACTATTATCATACAGCTGTTGCCAATTTTTTGTTTATTTTTTTCCCTTCCGTACAAGCTTATAAACTCTTTATTTTTAAATTGTATATTTCTTTGCAAACGATAATAATTAACCCTAAAAAAAGAAGAGTATAAAATGAATCATAATATAAAATCTCAGTATCTCCTAAAAATTCTCATTGAGTTGTGTTTATTATTATTATTATTATGTGTTTTTTTAGTCTTTTTATCCCGTCAAAATAAACATTAATCCTTCATTTATATTTCATAAAGCTTTTATTTCTTCTTCTACACTTCATCAATCACGCAACTTCATGTTATTTTCGAACATTCTATTTTTCATGTTCTTTTTGAAAAGCCCACATTTAGGAAATGACATATACACTAAATGGCACTGTGCAAACTCGATTTTTTCCCCCTACTTTTCTGTGTCTCTTTCACAATAATAATTTTTCATACCATTCAAAATCAAAGCCTTTTGTTTAGCGAATGCAGTTTTAAAATATTTTACAACGCTTCACTGAGGTCAGTTGTAAAATGATTAATGCGTTTTCAAGATTTTTTCCCCCGTTTCTTACAAGCTTGATATTGTTACGGATAGCAACCAGTTGGTGTTTTTGAAAGACATCAGTTTGGCGGAGTTGATATGCAGCTATTGAATTATCTTTTTTCCCTTGCCTGTGTTCTCTTAATTACTTATATTATTAATCATTTGTTTAAAAAAATTATGTAACTTTTTAAAGAATCGTTAAAATGAAAGCTGCCATGATATGACATTATTTAAAGAAAGATCTATACCATTAAAAAAATAACCACCATTGTGAAACCAATAAAAATATTTTTTATTAGCCTTCATTAAACGGGAAAATGTAAAATTTCGCTTAACTTCAACTAAGAAACCTCACAATTAAAAAAATTTCTAAGTTTTTGAATGCCAGAGTGTAAGAAGTATTGCCTTAACATTGCACCAATACACTTTTCTACTAACATAAGCCTTTTTCTACTTTCACAGCTTATATATATTTTGAATTCCATTCCATTTCTTAAAATAAGCCTTCTGCCAAATTCTTTGAGGACTTATTTCAAAAACGGGGACTTTTTCTATGCACTACTGAAATGTTTATTGAATTCTGTTGATATTCCTATTAATGTATCGATTATAATCCCCCATAATATATATTTTCAGTTTTAAATGAGAAAAAGGTCATTTTTTCAAGATTCTTTTGGTAGAGATTTCCTTTAGATAAATTTGTCAATAATTTTGATTAAAATTTCTTCCTATTGTATAAGAGTATTTTAAATCTTAGAAAGGAGAGTGTATAGTATTTTCAGTGTTTTAGAATAGTAAAATACATAATAGAGAATATATGGCTTTTCTGGACCATTATAATGTAATTTTTTTACATACATCAGACTCTCTTTTATTCAATTCCTACTATTGGTTCACACTCTCCATATATAAATTTATTTATTTATATATATATCTTGGTCAAATTTTCCATCGTTCATAAAATACTTTCTATTTATCCATTCAAGTTCAAATAAATTTTTAAAAACTTATAGTGGAGGACACTTGATGTTAATAGAGTTTTTTCAAATGTTAATTCGTTGATTAAATTCAAAAATGAATAAAAAGTAACAAACAAAATACTATTCCATCAGCATATATAGAAAGGAAAACCGTTCGTTGCGTCCCTGTAGCGCAATGGATGGTGCGTTGGACTTTGAATCCAAAGGCTGTGGGTTCGAATCCCACCTGGGATGGCCTAGTTTTTGGGAATGTGATTTCTTTTCTGCTATACTATTTTATTAGAAAAATTATATTTAAAATGAGTAAATAGTAGAAACAAAAAATCATTCAATACCATATATAGAAAGGAAAATCGCTTTTTATTTTGTCACTTAATATATATATATATATATATATACTAATTGTAACTATTTAATAAAAAGTAACTAAAATTTAAAAAAAAATTATGTTGATCTAAGAGAAATTGACTTAACATTTTTTTTTTACTACGAGTGTTAGGATTTTGCCCCTAAAATTGAACTTTTTTCATTAAAAATTTAATTTATTAAATTTTAATTTAAAATTTGTAAAATGTAAATTATAAATAATTGATTTTTTCAAATAATTGTTCCTTTCATAAAGTTTGTAAAAGATCAAAGGTATAATAATATCAATCATGTACAAAGAAACTCTAGAAAAACTAAATTTACATAAATTACACTTCAGAATTAATTAGAAGAAGTTATATGCAATATAACACACACCGAAAAAAGAACATTTTGTTAACCTTCCACACTTTTGTGTTACATTTAAGAAAAATACCGTTAAAGTATTAAAACATGTATCAGATATCCTTTTCTTAAAATGAAATCACATTCTGTGTACTACAGTCAGTAAATAATCGTCAGATCTAAACTGTATGTACGTACTAATAAATAAGCTCTCACACGCAGAAGTTAATTTATCAAGTTTGCAGCAGACTAATTGGTATCGCTTTTTTTAACGTAATTGTTCCTTGTTTCTTTAGTAAAAAAGCATTGTTCAAATTTCACAAACTCATTAACATGAAATGCATTAAAATTAAGTCTTTTTAATGAGAAAAAACTTTTTAATTCCACTTTTAAAGATAGATTGTTCTTTTTTCCCCCACCTAATTGACTCGTCATGATTGATTTATACAAGTTTTTTGGATGAAATATTTAAAGTTTTATCATTAATCTTATCATTAATTTAATTCTAACAACTGCTATTTGAAGCTCATTAAAATTTTGATCCCATATTTTAAGAATATTTTATTTTTGCAAAATACTGATGTTTAAAAAATATGCTATTTATCGATTATGGTTATTTTTCAAGTACATTTGAAATTAAATGAATTTGAACATTTTAAGCTGTTTTGGAAATCTTGTTTAATTTTATTATTGTTAATATGTTTTGATGAGTTTTCATAAACTTAGTGATGATCCAAGAAACTACTATAATAGTAACTACAATGCAATATTATCTAAAACTTTTTAAAAAATGTTTTAAAGTAATGTTTTAAGTATTAAAATTATTTAATAATAAATCATAAATATAAAATGTACAAATAATTAAATAATTTTAATAATTCAATAAAATAATTAACTAAAATATAATAGTTTTAATAAAACTCATAATGGTATCACATTTCTTTAAAAATTTGTAATCAATTACCTGAATGCAAAGGAAGATGAAGATATAAGTGGAAAAAAAGAGTAAAAGAGAAAAAAAAAGTAAATTATATTTTCCTAAATATGAATTCTAAAATATATATATATATATATATATATGTATATATATTCGAAATAAGTAAATGCATTATGCAAAATACATTTCTCCCATGAAGCATGAATTAATACTTAATCTTAATCAGATACTTAAAATACTTAATATCTTAATACTTAACTTAATGCTTAAAATCTTATGCAGATAATTAGAAATAGCAGGCTACCAGTAAATGTTGTGCTTTGGGAAGTTATGTAAATCAAAAGCAAACGTTATAAGCTGTTATTAAACATTATGAGGAGGAATACTAAAGAAATCTGTTATAATTGGACTCAGTATGTGTAAGATGCAAGATCTAAGTGTAGATTGGCTAGGTCATGGGTAGATTGTTGGAGGGCTGGCGAATGTACCACTCTCTCTCGGAATTGATAATGGCGTGTGGACGAACCATTATGGCATGGCTGTACGTACTTGAGTTCATCGATATCGGTAAAATTATCCTCACAATGGAAAAATGCCGTGGACAACAGTGTAAGTTCCAATTAACTGGCAACCCAAAACGCAATGTAACAGGGTTAGATATGAGGCTTTAGCTACCTTGTAGCTGTGTACTTCGATATATGCTAGGAGCTGGAATAGCATGAAAAGGAGTGGAATTTATCGTCTTCTAGCTTCCATTGTTGCCTACGGATAGACGTCACATTGCAAAGGATCGCAATTTAGTGCTAGGACAAAAAAACTTCAGCAGCCCAACCATCCGGAATTATCTTCCCACTATGAGATAAAAAAAAACAAAAAATAAAAAAAAAAAGAACGTGGAAAGCCACGCGATAGAAGTGAAACTTCTTTGGCGATGTTGACCGTAAAAATGCAGGAATAGATCTAATTATATTAAACTGCTGAGATAACTTTAATCAAATAAAATTCGAATTTCATTTATTATAAGAAAATATTTTTATTCAATTTTCTGCATCGTCATTTTCCAAGAAAGACACAATAGTTGTGAGGTAACTAAAGTAGGGTATAAAAATCCTCGATTGTAGTCAATCAAGAAAATGTGAGAAAACTGCATCAATTGTGGTTCTGTATGTTGTTTTTCCTTCTCTAGAATCAGTATTCATTGTCAAATTCAGTGTCCGTTTCAAGAATTCAATGAGTGGCTTTGCTTCTTCTGAAGCAAAATTAACATTAAAGTCTCCAGTTAAGATAATCGGCTTTTAATCATCATCGGATCCAATGATTGCAGCAGCCTCTGATGTGTACAGCACTAAAACTTTATGGATAAAGATGATAAAAGCTGCGACGAACTACCTGGTGATGTATAGACTTTTGCCTGGACTTGCTGCTAGTTTTCCTTTTTCTTTCTTTTTTTTTTCTTGTCTTTCACGGAACTCTTTGCCTCTATTTGCATTTCTTCTAGGCATTCTGACCAGAATTAATTTTAATTCAATGGAAATAAAAATTAATAATATAAACTTAATGCATCACTAACAGAAGTCACTGTGTTTGTTTACAAGACGCTATCCGTAGCGATTCTGGCGCAAACGTTAGTGACATATACACAATGCCCCGGACACTCCCGAAACGGGAAGAGCCATATAATGGTAATATTTTGGGTGCGTTTATGCGTTGAAAACTGCACGTTTATTATATAAAAACTACGAAAATACGCCACGCGAGTTCCTTACGAGAGTAGCAAGGGTACCCACTTATTGTCACCAACACCTAAGCGCCTTTCATCCATAGCAGCAAGATATACTTTTGATGCACAATTCCTCCTTAGCAATCTTCAAACTTTTTCACGGATATGACGCAGGTTACGTGGTGTACCCCCCCCCCGCTCTCTTTTCCTCCCGCTCGCTATCTCCTCACCATGGCAACGTTTCGGGGGGATGGGGGGAATCACTACTTCCGTTCGCTTTTTCACTGTTACGCAAAACTGGGTAAATTTCCCAATCACTCCTGTCTGCAAAGAAGTTTCACTTCAAAAATGATTGTCCAACGCTGACCACACATCACAAAGAGCAATAATTAGTATGAGCATAGATACTGAACCTTAAGACTTATGAAATAGCACTACCTGAATTGATAAGTCCAGATTCCCGTAGGCAGGATGCAAAAAGCAGAGTTCGAGGTTTGCTTGATGTAATGGATCTTTCTTACTCTCCAAAACAGGAGGTGAGAGGATTCTCAACTATGAACTATTTATTAGCTCTGAAATGAAACCCTGATATGTATAGCATCGTCCCTCGTTAAATAAAAGTTAGAGAATATCACATATTATAAAATCCTTAAATAGCGTACCTTGCAATCCTATTTTTCATTCAAAATTAAATAATAATTTTAAAACAAGAAAATGTAACAGAAATTTTTTGTAACATAGCTTGAATATTTTTATTTTTCTGAAGCGAAAAATCTCCCTATCTATCGAAGGGTCAGCATGCTGAGAGACAAATAAAAGTACATACTAAATTACTTTCAGAAATGAGAGACTGCGTATCTAGAGATGAGGGAATTAATTTTGTGAACTATGGTATTGTAGTAAAGAAATTGAGATAAGAAAAGGAAGACGATTATATTTAAAGAAAATTTTAAGCATCTAATGCCTTCGAACAACAGTTGTTCAATGTTTTTCAATCAAAAGTCCTTTTAAACACTCTTAACGTTCGTCTGTTTAAATTGTATTTGTATAATACATTAAATATATTAACTAGTGCATTAAAAACATAATTTTTTCCTCTCATTAAATTCTCGAATTCCAATTATAAAAAAAAAATTAATTTTTCTTTCTACCACTTTTTTAATAAATTACACATTTAGTATTCCTTTTTAAAGCCAAAAAAAGGGCTAAAGCTGCTGATTTTAAAATAAAACTCTCTTGATAAACCATAGATGGTAAATATAATTTTTTAAAGAAATAAATTGAAGTAATTACAACACAGTTTTAAGACTTGGAAAAGGGAGGATTGGTTTTAAAAATAAACAAAAATGCATTTAAACTTTATAAATCGATTAAATTTTGCAATAAATAAATAAATTTTCGTAACTGTTGTTAGCAAAAAAATAAAGGGGGGGGGGGTATTTTATATGCGTTGATAGAAAATAACGAAATTATTGGCTTTATACAAAACCATATCTCTGAACCAGATAGAGGTTGATCACTTTTTGACACCACAATTAGAAGCAGCACCAGAGTTGCTGATCACTGTTTGAATCACAGTCAAGTGATGAGGAAATGGCACGACATTCTTCAAACCCCCACACCACGCTAATCTGCGCCTTTTAAGCCTCGATATATTCAACATGCACAATGTCCATGAAGATTCTCTACGGGAAGGTTCGAACTTAAATTTTGACAGAAACAATGCCGGGCAAGAGTTTGCGACCGAACCAGAAAACAGTACTTTTATTCGCCTTTGTATAATAGTAATGTATATATATATAAACAGAACATAAAAAAATTATCAGTGTTATCGTAAATTTTGTAAAGATGCTATATCTGTTTTTT